GGAATGCCACATGGTCCTGGAATTCAGATCCAAAGTCACAGCGGTCTCCTCCCAGCCTCTCGAACAAATTGCTAAAAGCACAGTAGGAAATGCTTTGAGGAATTTGCTTCTTTCAGAATATGCACCTCATCTGAGGAATCTGTCTGATGACTGATGTGTCTGTATGTAATCCCAGGAATGCCAAAAGGATTACCCAAAGTTTTCAGGTGTCAATTTTCTGTTGCTCCAAAACATGTCCATTTTTGTCTGCAGATAGATGTGTGCAAATTGATGGTGTACTCTACTCTGATAAATTTACTCACGATTCCTATACTATTTTTGGCACTCAAGCTTCATTACTATAATTGAATGTAACTGGAAGAGTTTCAGCTGATTTGTTCTGTGGCAGTCTTTTGTCTGAGCCACACAAGCTGTTGAGAAACACACAGATCCCCTCTGGTGTGTTTTCACTCATTACTCTTTGCTGGTTTTGTGGGGGGTGTCTCATGAAAGAGTCACCTCCCTCCAAAATTGTAGTGCTGCCTGCTTAGTTACACAGCCTGGCTGCGAAGCACAAGGAGGTAGCAATGAAGTGTCATGTTTGAAAGACTACAAGAAAGAAATGGAATGGTGATAGACTGAACTAATGCATTCTTAATGAGAGGAAGCTCTTCTGTTGCTTTGAAGGGATGCAGGGAAAAAAGTACGGCATGCTTAGAAGCAGTAAAACTTGAAAGCTGTTTTTAATGCTGTTGCAGAAAGAAGGAAGTCACTGTGGCAGAATGCTTATAAAATTCTTCTGGTAAAATGCAAATACTATGTTAGCATGATCATTTTATTAAGATTTACATTCAGAGGTGAGAGATCTGGCTGCTCTGATCCCTACACAGTTAAAAGCTTTTGGGAGTGGATACATTTTGGGCACATAGCACAAGCCTTGCAATCGATGTATAGTCTACTGACAACTGAATGTTTCAAACATCTTGTAATAAAGTTTGGATAATAAAAAAATGCAAGAAGCCACCATTTAAATGTAGCACAGGTAACTCAAAAGAGTGTTACCTATGGCTTGTGTGCACTCAAGATTTCTTAAAGACAGTTCCCAGACGTTTTGAGAAAGTGGCCTTGGCCACATTCTGCACTAGAAAAGGAGAAGTAATACAGTTCTAGAGGAGAAGTGAATCCTGATTCCACATCCAACAATAGTTTTCACACACATATGAGGCATAGTCAAGGAATGTCAGGCTTTTAGAAACATCAGTGTGTATCATCCAATGGTCTGTCTCCAGCTCTGACCAAATTCCAGTGCTTCATAAAAAGAAATGAACAATGAAACAAGAAACCAATTGTTACTTTGTTCTCAGAGTGGATCAAAAAATCCTCTTCAGCCTCCATAGTGACCACTGGGATCCCAAAAGTGTGTATTTAATGCAGTGTAGACAAACTGCCAGACAGACACATTTTTCAAACCTCATTGATGTTACAGCTCAGTATGTGTTCAAGAACTCAATAAATAATCTTAACTTTCTATATTTAAGGACTCTTTCCTCATGTTTATGATCTGTTTGATCAGCATTTAAAGCTCTGTCTTAAAATAATGCTGCCTCTTTGGAGGAATTGGAAAGATCCCTTCTGAACTTCATTTTTTGCATTGTTGGAAATTTTATAAATTTGAGACCACATTTACTCATGGCCCAGTTTTCAGACCTTTGATTATGTGCTGATACTACCATTTTCTTAATTCTCTGCTATTTTCATTGTCTATGAGAAAGAATTGTCATATTCCTCAGTCACTTTCTTGCTAAGAAAAATAAGTGAAAATTAAATTTTATCTTTGTGTGACAGATATTCATTGCTTTAAAAATCCACGTAGCTTGTCTCAGCATCAACTCTGATTTAAAGTCATCTTTTTTTTTTTAACACAGGTGACTGTTAATTCTGTGCACGGAATGCCAGAGGAGATTCTCTCTAATGATACTAACACTTCTGTAGATCTACTAAAAATACTTTGCCACATCCTCTGTAGAACTGCATACATTCTTTTCACAAAGCCGCCTTCCTGGCTTTTATACTTGTCTATTCCAGTCTTCAGCATTTCCATTTAATCATGGAATTAAATTTAATTCCATATTTACACCGAGAACTATGCATTGTTTTAAAGAGACACCAGGGAGGATTGCTACATTTTATCCAGTTCATATTATCTGTGCCAACAAAATTGTCTTACTCTTCTTAAGTGATGAGTGAGTCCTTCTTGACTGTGTTAAAACCTCCTAACCTTGGGTTGCCCAAGAATATTATGAGTGCACACCTAATTCTTGCTCTTATGACACTAAGAAACATATTGATTGCTCCTAAAACTAATCCCTGAGAAACACAACTAGCAACTTTCCTCCTCTCAAGTACCTTATTATTGCCTCTGCTTATCAAGCTTCTTATCCAACTGAAGAATTTCAATATTAATTTGTGTCATTTCCACTCAAAGTATGAGTTTTCCATGAGGACTCACAATAAGCATTTTATATGACACCCAGATATACTAGATTTGACACATTATCTTTGTGTAAAAAGTAAAGTAATGATTTCAACCATAGGTAATCCCATTGTAATTTTCTCCTGCTTTTCATTTCCATGTGTTTTAATCACTTGTTTCAAATCTGGTTTAAATGTTCATGGTGCTGAAGTCAACAGTCATGATATCACTTGACATAACTTCCCTCCCTCTTCCTGGGCATATTTGCCCAATCCACCATTGCATATTTCTGACACGTAGTACTGTCTCCAAATAATATATATTTAACATCTTTTCTAGTTGTACTTCCATTTGCCTGTGTCTTCAGTAGTCTGGAAAAAAGATAATCTGGACCCAATGATTCTGTCACTGAGCTGCGGATATTTGACTTCCCTTTCAAATAATGCAATTCCCATTGATTTGCCATCATTCTCCTTAGCTAACCTTTCAATATCTTTATGTTCATCGACTTCCTTGAAATTGGGGAAGAGCATGTTATTCAGCAACAGATAATCTATACATCAAAAATAATGTAGACATACCAAGCTTGCCCTTCAGAGCAGTGTCAGGGCTTCACTTCATTGCTCTTTATTGTTCTTCATTATTCTTTATTGTTCCAGTAGCTAAAAAATATGTCTTTGTTTTACTTTCCCATGTAAGGTACAATTCAAAAAAGCCTTTATGCATCATTCCTTTGCTGTATGTGTTACAGTGCCTGAAAAGAAGTTCTGCTTGATAATCCGGGCTTCCTCTCACTCTGTGAGGGTTTTGTACCTATTCTTATTATATTGCTTTCATTATTTGTTCATTTAGAGACTCTAACCCTTTCCTACAATTTTTCTCTCCTGCCCAGTGCACACAGATTATTTCCATTCTCAATGTGAATCCATCCTTTCCTGCATTCACATCATTAAGTTCCTCAGACCAATCATAATTTTTCATTGATTTTTCTATTTTCTAAAAGTTTGCCTTATACCAAGCCTTAGTTACAGATTTATTTTTATCCATCTTGCAATTTAAAAGCACTGAATTCATTCATAATTGCTTCCTCCTCAGGAATATCAGTTTTTCTCAGCTGTTTTACAAGATTCTCCTCACACACAAAAACCCCCCTAAGCTTAAAATAACCCACATGTTGTTGTTTTATGAATTTGTGTACCAAAAAAAAAAGTCATCTGAAATGTCTAAGAATATCTAAACCTTGCTATTATTGATGGTATTTATGTCTCTGGCTGGAAAATTTAGGTTTCCCTTATTATTTATTTCTTTATCTATTTATAGAGATGATTATACCCTTCCAAATCTCAGCCTGTCAGACCATATTATCCCTTTCTCCCCAAATACTGTCCAAGCTGGGTCTCTTTTACCATCTTCCTTGCAGTGACTTTCATCCTAACAACCTATGTTTTATTCATGCCATCACATTTTAAGACGAATAAACACAATTTGGCTGTTTTACTTTGCTACAACATCAAATTTCCTGACTTTTATGTATTTTAAGTTGCATCCACATGGGTCTGTATATATAATTACCTTGTTGTCTCTTTAGATTGAAAAAACCCCAAGGAAAAACGGCGTGCACTTCCCCACCCTTCCACAAAGTGATTATAAATGTACCTATTTATATTAGGTTAACTTAGCAGCATTTGGTTTGGCTTGGTTTGTATTTAGCAATATATTCTAGTTATGAATAATTATTTTCTATGCCAGTAATGCTTTTTCCTAGTCACTACTCCTCCACCTGGATGAGGTAGAGGTGATACTGGAATACCCATTCAAATCAATGTATATCAATAAGAATATATAGAAAATGCATAGAGTTCAAATAAATGAAAAAAAAACCCAGAAATTTGAACATTAGTAAACACCCATCAGTGGAGAGATTTATCACCCATCCAAACTGGTGACACAAAAGCATCGTGTCAGGTCAGCTTTAACCCAAATGCTGGAGTTCTGTGAATGGAAAATTGCCCAAAAACCTTCAGCCACTATGTCTCATGGCCATCAAGTGTGCCCACAGATCACAGGCAAGGAATGAATTACAGCACAGTCCCTCAGCAAATGTGCCAAGCTCACCTTATCCTGAGCATCACCACAGCCTAAGCTGCAGTTCAACACAAAGCTTGCAGATTGCTGTTCCCAGTGGTAATAAGTTCTTGCTATGCACTTGGGTATAAGCATCACCATTAAAATGCCTAGACGTACTCTGAAGTGTTAAAATTAAGTCCTCCTGTGACTAAAAGTAGGAATTATAACTAAAAGCCTGCTTATCAACTCATTTTATTTCCTGTCTGAAGAAGATAGGGAATTTAGACTTAGGTGTAAAAAAAAAAAAAAAAAATTATAGCTAAGCTAGTACTTTATTACATTTCTTCCAGTCAGTGTTGCTGTGATTTAGATGAGAAGCAGCAAGGAAGATTTGAGCTGTCACACTTGACTTTCAGCTGCCACGAAGAGGCACTGGAGGTTACAGGCTGAAGTTTAATTTATATTCCTCCTTTTGTTACAGGCAGAGATGGTACGTGCTGCTTTCCAAGCGCAGAGATCTTTCTTGCTGTTAGCATCTCAATGTCAAGAGCCTCAAGAGGTAAGGAAAGTGACCTGGAGCTTCAAGAGGCAGTGCATAAAAAAGTCTGTGTTGCCATATGTTATTGATCCTGCATTTGCTTTGTCTGTTCCTTTATTTATACAGTGCACTTGGGGGCTTGCTTTCACTTTTATAAGCATGGTGCTGTAATAATCAGAAAGCCATGGTCCTGGGTTAAGAACCTTTTCTGTACTAATTCGTATAAGATCATTGAAGAAAGCAAAGGAGGAGTTCACTTTACATTTGTAAGTGGGATCAGTCTTTTTCTGGAAGCTGGAAACGCCATGGAATAGAATTGCTATTTGCCAGCCCCCCATGGATGCTGCGTGGTACACATTGAAGTTGGGTATAAGCTAGTGAGAGAAAAACCAGTATTAGCCCATGCACTCAGTATTCCCCAAACTGAGGTCCAGGTTAGGCCAATTCTGAGAGGAAGGGGAAAGCATTTTGTCAAGAAAATGAAAAATAAACTTTTATCAAGTTGATTTATATACTTGCTTCAGTGGCAACTGTTTAAATCCTCCTCTCACTAGAAAGTTCAGAGAAGCTGTGGAGTTGTTATGAATCTCATTTGTAGTTTCTAGAAGGCTCAAGGCCAATAGCACTTTATCATTCCTGGGAGTAGCAATTGATTAGCTCTTCTGTGGAACCACCATTGAACCTTCCCCCTTGGAGTATGCAGAAAATGAAGTCTTCCCTTGCCCTGTCTCATCATGGCCTTCAGTTCTGCCTTTTTCCACTAGTTCCCTGCTCCAAAGTGCATTATAATCCTTTTTTGCAAATCAGAACTCTCTGCACATGGTATAATTTATTGAAATTTTGCTGTCACTATTGTTCTTAGAGACACAAATTAGAAGTTTTTCTAATCAGTATGTTTTAATGGCAAGGGTACTTAAGGAAAAGAAAAAAAAAAAGCAAGCCCATAGATATTCAAGGGTAGACTTCAGAGTTCCAAGAAAGAAAGGAGCAGTTGTTTTTCCAGCTGTCCCTGATCTCAGGGAGTAAAAGTGGGTCATGGCTCACACAGAACAGCAAAAATTCCCATTGGTACAGGCCTTGAGCAGTCATTTGTATTGGCTGTGAATACAATTGCACCCAGTGGCCCACAAAATTCTACATGTTCATAGGTAAAATATTCCCCAGTGACCAGTTTCTGATGGCCCGTAATGTAATGCAATGTTCTGAAGTGTTGGGATTGTCCCAGCTCTGGTACAAGAATAAGCTGTGGGTCCTGGTTTGGCCTCCTGTACTGATGTGCTATCAGTAGGATTTTCTCTGCTTTTCCAGTGAGAATAGCAATGGCTTCTCCCTACTCCTACCCTTACAACTTTCTGACCTCATGAGGTCAGAGGTCAAGTCTGAGATTTTTCAAGTGTAAAGTTTAGAATTTTTTATTTTATAATGTCAACTAAACATGCTAAAAAAACAAACAACAAAGAAAGAGTAGAGATAAAAAAAGATTCTCCAGCAATCTAGAATGATGGTTACAGAAGCATTAAGAAAAGCAATAAATAATAAAAACCTTGTCATAAACATCACCAGAGCTGGCCATCCATATGTCTTAGTAGTACATTATCAGGCTTGCATAGATTTCTGCAGTTTGTTGAAGGCAAGAAAGTACACTTCTATCATTTAACTATCCTTTAGCACAGTGAAAATGCCACATGATATGTGTGTACACATCATTCCAAAGTTAAAATACCAGGAATATTACAGACGAAAGTTTCTTTTTATCAGTGAGAGCCAGTCTAGTTATAAACCCAGTCTAGTTATAGTTACTTAAATTTTTTTAAAGACTGTTAGCTACGCATTTTTATAGACATCAAAACACACACTGTTGTCCATTCTTTTTCTCTTTTTTGCATATATTTTTTTGTGCAGACACACTCAATTATACTATGGACAGATGTGAAAATAATTGAAGGCTGCCTATGCTGTACAAATTGAATATTTTTTTTTCCCACTGCAGAGAGTTATGGTTCCAGGTGTTAGGTTTTTTATATCTCCATCACAGTGAGGAAAAAACTTTCTATTATAAAGTCACATTGGTTAAGCATTTTGAAAAAGCTGGTAATCACCAGCTAACCCAGGAGAAGGAAAGAAATAGGCGTCCTGCCCCTGCTCCCCCGGGACCTTATTGCTGTGATGTCACCTCGGCTCTGGCTCTGTATTTATAGCCTAGAGCCATGGAGTCAGTGTGGAATCCAAACAGGAAAGCTGATCATTAGTGTATCAGAATGCACAGAGTGGAGAAAAGCAAATGAAGATGACAGCATATCTATAAATGCAAGAGAAAAGAGAGTAATTCTGTCATTCAGCTGTCTAGACTGTTTGCTTTATAATGTAAAGCTGTGAATGAGCCAGCGAGTTGCGATTATGGCATAGTAGCTTTGCAGACATTCAGAGACAGCGGTGTGGAGACTGAGGGGATTTACTGAGTTCCTGTCAAGTTGGGATGTCATACATGGTGCCTTTAAAAAAAAAAAAAGAGGGAGGGGAAAATGTGCTGGAAAAATAAATTAGCTCAGCTCTTGCAGCTTACAAACTAATGGATAAGGAATTCAAACAAAAAGAAAGCTCCTATATCTATAATAATCCTTGGATATTTTTGTGCTCAGCAAAGAGAGAAACGTGTATCATCAAAAAGTGGTATTTTTTTTCTCTCTATGAAAATGGTGAAGTCCTAGAATTAATTTTGCTCTTTAATTCGTGCTGTGAGTCACTAACAAACATTTTCAAACAGTCAAGATTGCTAAAAGTTGCTTTTGTGGAGTTTTGCTTCTTGTTGATAATGGTTTTTTTTTCATTTGGAATCTGTTGCAGTGCACAGCCTTTATTATCTGTATATGTGAAAATAGTAGGAGACAGGAAGGTAATTCCAGCTGGCATACCAATCTAGCATCAACTGCAATAAATTACTTTGCAGAGAGCATGTTCTGTTACTTTTTATGGTCATGTTCTATATTTGTATGTGCAGTGGAAGAGATCACATGACTAAACCACCAGCTGATATTCCTGTTTGTGTATGTCCCAGCTAATGGCTGCTAGATACAGGCTCATTCAGCAAGATGGGATTTTTCAGTCCATCTACTTATGAGAAATTATTATCTGATACAAAACTTCAAACATTTAAACAAAAAATGTCTGTTATAAATCATTTACTACTATAAATAGTATAAGAGAATATATGAGTTTATAAGAGAGTGCAAAGAAGATGGGAAAATAAATTAGAATATTGCTGTAATCTGTGAGAAGTTGTTTAAAAAGATATTTTGAGACCACATGTTTGCATGTTGCTTGGGCCATTCAGAAGACAGGTTTTAGCATAAACCTTCAAAAAACATTCTGAAACAGTTTGGATCTGATTTTCTATTTCCCACAGTCTAAGCCAAATACAATTCTGACTGAAATGTGTTTTTTATTTCATTGCATAATAGTTTTAAAAGTTATTAATGTTTCTGAGCAAATTTATCTGTTTAACACCTTTTTTTAATTTGCGATCATGAATACTGATCACTGCTCAAAGTGACTGCATTAAATTCTTTGTGAATGGTGACTCATATACTGCCTTCTCTTTATAGGTTGTTATATTTCACTTTAAAAGTTCAAACAGTTTTAAGAGTTGCTTTGAGGGCTTGAGGAATCCATTGTTCCTATACTGAGAACAAATTAATGAGATTATTATTTTTGTGAATCAGTATAAGCATATGCAGGATGAGTGTGTCCGTGGTAAGAAGTACTACAAACAGATTTAAATGACAGATGCAGTTCAGACTATAAATGATTACGTAATTTCTCATTAGAGAAGAATGCTGAGTTCACATGACTGCCAAAGCTCATGGATTTATTCCTAACATTGTGCAGACAAACATTCCAATTAAATACCTAGCTTAAATATATAGATCCTGCACACAGGTGGGAGGAGAGGGGTGGAAAAAAAGTGAGAGGTAAAGGAGAGCTTTCCTTTTTTTTCCTAGAAAAGGGAGACCTTACCCCACTTCACAGAAACCCAAGAAATTGTGTTTGAATTTGGACTTAGAGCCATGAGAACAAGTCGTTCTATTTTTATTTTTTATAGCCAAGCAAAAAGAAAAAAAATGTCTATTGTAGGATTAGTTGTGGCAAAATCTTTGAATAAAGGATTCATTCTCAGGTTTTTTATGTAGAAATCAAAAGATGAAGATTCACAGTTCCCTACTCTGTGTCAGTGTGGGATTGCTCATTTTCTTCTCTTTCTACTTTGAAGTACTTCAATAACAGGACTCCTGGGACTTATTATTCTGCATTCTAGCAGGATTTGTTTTCTAATTACCTTGACTTGCTTATGTCATTCCATTTCCCCCTACTTTTCCTCATGCTTACTGGGATCACCCTTACTGTTTTCCAAAAATACAAACAGTAGGATACTACTCACCTTGTTAATTTATTACATTCTTATGCAAAAGAGTTTGGGCTGAGTTTCCGTGCTATTCTCTCAGCTGGTTCACTGCTGCTAACCTGCTCCTCTGTGTCTAGAAATAGCTTAAAGAGGAATTTACTTCAATCCTTTTAAGGTCTTCAGGCCTCAAACTCAGAGAAGGTGCCAAGAGTGACATGGACAGGAGCCTGAGAGTCCTGAGCTCGAAAGGGAACCCCTTCCCCTGGTCCTGTTCTCTGAAATCTTGCCAAACTGTTGGCATACTTCTGTTATCTGCAAGCCTACAACTGCATGTGATGCGTGGTCACAGCCGCAGGGATGGACCAACAGTTTCCAGAGACTAACCCGCTGCAGTGCAGAGTTCACAGGCTCATTTTTGGATATTGCTGCAAGCTCTTACTGTGTTTCACATCCAGATAGCCCCTGACACCTGTTACCTCATAATTCTGTCTCAAAATCACTCATCTGCATTGTATCAGCCTCAAAGTCATTGTATTTTCAGTTCATAGAATCGTTTAGGTTGGAAAATATCTTTAAGGTCATCAATCATAAACCCAGCACTGCCAACTCCACCACTAAACCA